CCCTCTTGACTTGCAGCATCCAGCCGCTGCAGCGATGCCTGACCCACTCCTGGTCAGCTCTTGGTGATGATGGGGTCCATGGCCAGGCACCCCTCTGCAGCGCGGTGCACGGGAGCGCTGGCAAGCCCGCAGCTGCGTGGGTGGGACGCAGAGCTGCTCCGATACACGCCGTGCCCGCTCCGCCTTGGCTGCCGGCGCCGCTCAGCCCAAGCAGCAGATGGTTTGCTGAGAGCTCCTGGAGCTTCTCTCTCCATAGAGAAAGTTAACTAGAAGTTCACCTGGAGCCCAACCAAGTACCATCTCCCTTCCGAGCATCTGATTTCCTGGCCATGTGGGCTGCAGGACATGAGGGTACCCTGCGATGGGCACAAGCCTCCCCCTACAGCAATGCCAGGCTCCTCACGCTCCCAGCCAGCCCTGCTCCCAGCTAATCCCACAGGCAGAGCCTGCTTCCTGCCCCATCATCCCACCAGCATCTGTCACCGTCTGCTGCGGTGGCACTAACCCACCACCCCTCAGCAGCCAGAGCTGAGGAACCATCCGGACACCCACGGAGCACAGTGCTTCCCAGCTCGGCTGCAGAGCTCCCGGCACCACGGTCCGGCTCTAACCTGCAGGGACCCATTAATCCCCACTCCGTACCGTGCTCGCCCCCCCCCCCCCAGCCACACTGGCAGGTAGGTGCAGCCTCTCACCCGCACACGGGGCAGCTTTTCCCACAAGGGAACAGCAATGAGGACCTTTGCCAGAAGCCCCACATCTCACCCTGCAAGTGAAGCCCTCAAAGAGGCCGGGGCTTAAGAGCATCCTTCGGTCCACAGACCTCAATTCCCTTTTCCAAGCAGGACCCAGCACAGGCCGTGCCAGTGCAGGGGACAGCAGCAGAAGGGCTGTCACACGCTTGACATGAACCACTCATCTCAAAGCACCAATATCATCATTGGTCACTGGCTGCCAGTCCCAGAACAGGACAGACTGGGGTCACTACAGGTGTCCCCCCCAGGTCTGCACCCTGGCCAGCACAGGGTACCCAGCAACACCCCGACAGACCAGCACCCTGGGAGGGAGCAGGGAAGGGGCGCAGGGCCCAGCCCCAGGGGATGGATGGGGTGGCCGGGCTGGGGGCGGCAGCACTCGTGGGTGCGGGGGCTGCTCTGCCCACCCGGGGCGCAGCTCC